CCTTTTAACGCACATACCCATATGTGCTTCTCTTGCTAGAACATGTAAAGAAGCTGTGGAACCATGAAAGAGGGACTGCAAAAATGACCTCCGAAGCCCCAACGCCTGTCTGCGCTCCTAGACCACAAGCATTCGAGGAAGACCCTGGCAAGCAGCTGGGCAGCTAACATTGGATGGGTATAGGGTTTAGAGTTTAGGGCTTAGGGTTTAGGGTTCAGGGATTAGGGTTCCGTGAAGATGTCCATGAAACTCCGCTTGCTGTTGCTATGACTAATTATCCGTACCCCCATTCCTATACAACTACCATGGATCATCATGAGTTCAACCTACTTTGCGGCGAGTGCTGCTGTTCAGGGTTTTGGGATTCGTGGTGCAGGGTGTTGTATATGCTGGGGCGAGTCAATCTTCATTACAGGAACAGTCCTTAGAGTGTACTAGGTGTATTGTGGCAACCCAGCCCTTATATTCAATAAGGACCCCATAAGTGTCATGCGATGGTCTCAAGATCCGGATTTTTAAGCATTGGGGCAACCTGAATCCTAGAATGAAGTTATTCAGCGTCCGTAAACGATTAATTCTCATTTAACAGCGGAGCCAATAAAGCCGAATACCCAATTATTGGCGAACGCACCACTTTTACCAAGATGGATGAGAATCAGGATGAGGGCTCAGCACCATGTGAGTAGCTAACGGGTTTGATCCATGCTTGCTATTGCAAAATGACAAGATCTTTGAATGCTTTTCTCCGCTACGCAATGCGCACACTAAACCCCGGGACATCGACCTGCAGTACGACACGTGCATGGTCCCAAGTTTTTGGCACATCCTCATGGAGTGGTTCGGGGGTGTGTGTGGGAGGGGTGTGTTCTCTTATCCTGTAGTTATCATCTTTCAGACGGCTAAGTTATGGTTGGGAAGTGATCTTAGGATAAGCATGAAAGAAGTTTGGAACCAGGAAGCGCTTAGTAGGTGTGTTGAGCAGCCATCGTATAAGCCACGTGAGACATCCAAAACGTTCCGGGTGTTGAAGACCCCCATATTTGTGGTCGTGCACTTACGATTTGTAATCCCCTTATCCTAGGCTTATCCTTGGGAACCCCCGAATTTCATCGTACACTTATCATTGCCGCTAGGCCTCGGGGACCTCCAAATGTGTGGCTGCACTTACGCTTCCTCTTATTCTAAACTATTTTAGCTTTATCCAGGAGCTCCATTACGGCCATCGCTGCCCCTCACGAACAGAACCACTCAACCCGTTGTATGCGCAAACGTTCACGACCTGCAGAAAACCACTTTTTGAGAATAATTTATCAAAAAGCTCAGTGTTTGTTGTGGAAAAGGCATGAATAAGCCAATATGGCTGTAAATCAAAAACCCTGGGTTTGTTGTAGGCGTAGGTGGCCATTCCGCAACATGGGTTTGTAACAGAATCTCCTGGCTTGCGACAAGCACCTCTGCAACAGGGTTCTTTTGTAGGCTTTTCATTCACAGCCATATTTGTTATCCTAAGCTCACGTTGTGTATACCTTACCATCCCTTGCTCATGCATGAGCTACAGAAGAGCCTCGAATGAGCGCGTGTTCATGGCGTATCCTAGGCTCATCCGTAGCCTATCTAACCCTTATCCATTCACAGCTTATCCACAAGTCTTGGATGAGCAAACACCTCCCCCCTCCACGCACACCCCTTCCACTTGGTGAACATCCCTTAGTTCCGTCGCAGCATCCTGATCTCACTGTCGGTTTCGATGTCGATGTCCCACATCCAGTCAAGAAGCAGCGATGGAATAGCTGGCCTTGCCAAGGGGCACCGGAAAGAAGGAAGGCCGTTGAACGCAGTTTGTCGGGTCATCATATAGGTTAGCACGCGTTTCCCGGGCGCGGCAATGGCCCTGGCGTGCACCAAGCTGCTTCCCGTTGGCAGAGCGTTCCTGGTCCAACAATCGCGGTGGTTTCCAGGAAGCGGGAGATCTAGTTGGGGATCTCTATAACATTGCAGCTGTTTGGGGGCCCCGCGTGTAGGGCAGGTTTCCCGTAAGAGATAAGGTTTACGCCAACGTAAGTGTTCTAAGTCAGGTGTTACCACTCTTGGTACTCTTTCTGCTGCCCGCTCTTGCTATAACTCTACTACCACTACTAACAAGCGACACCTGTTGCTATAAGGGGGTCGACGCAAAATCAGCATGAACGGAAAGATTCAACGCTTTCCTTGGGAAGATTCAGGGGTCTTCAGGAGGTAGGAGTCCTCGCGACTGCCCCCTGCTCCATTGGAAGGTCGATTCAGAGGTTTATGTTTTGAAAATATTTGAAGTTTTGTGTTACTTGGCTTTACACGTAAGTTGCACTGGTGCTACTGCTTTCTAGTGAAATCCTTGAAGGCGTAAGCTGCAAAGTCCTCAGAGTTAAAGCAGGACAGCCACTCCATCTCCAGGCGACGCTGGGCGAAGCCTCTGCCGGCCGGGCAGGTGCCATTGCTGCTTCCAGAGGCAAGAACTTGAGGCTTTGGTGTGCAAGTGTGGGTGCTTTGAGTTCAAGTAATTGGGAGAGGGCTTCGCGAACTTGCAGCGTTGGTAAATACTCAAGTTTGTTGTATGAGTAGAACCTAGCCCAGCGAGCAGAAAGCCGGCGTGCACTCGGACGCACTTGATCGTTCTGCGCAGGCAAGGCGCGATGCCCAGCAACCACGAGCAGGCCGACATGATCGCTTCACACAAGCCCGTCATAGCTCAAAGGGTAGCTTCTGGTTGGCAGGCTGCCCCTATGAAACTTAGGGTTTTGGTAACGTAAGAATGGTAAGGCAAGAATCTTCTCATATCATCTGCAACTGCCGTCTCCCAAACGAAGACTGGAGCTCAAAGGCTACCATTGCTACACGGTGCTTTTGTGTCACATCCTATGGAAACGCGGAGCTGGTGACTCATGCTAATGCGCTGGAACAAGGGGCAGAGGCCCCAATGTGATCCTAAAGAGAGTGTCTTTTGTGTGGTCCATTTAGTATCCATGGTCCCTAAGGGTATCCCCTTTTGACAAACCCCTAGATTCAAACGTCAGATTGTCTGCTTCGACTGACCTTGCGAGAATAATTTCCTCGACCAATCTTGGACGGCCACATTATTAGGATGTTTTAGCACGGATACCATAGTCGTCTTGGCTGTAGTGCTGTAATTTTTTAGTCTTTACAAAAGTTGATAGAGGACACATCTTGTCATTTTGGGAACCTGCGGCATAGGATCCTGGTATTAATTGCGCCGAGAAGTGGTCATGCTGATCTCTACGTATGTTTGGCAGCATGTTTGAGAAATATTGATGTAGGCCGTAAATGAGAAAATCTTGCACCAGCTTCTCTACCTTGTTCCTACGGAGTATTCCGGATAGTGGCAAGCCCTGAGTGGCGCATGATTCCCTCCATGCACTGTAGTTGCACTTTATATGCAGCCATACTGGACCTAATGTAGCCAGGCCAGCCCATTCGCAAAGTGTGCTTCAAACATAAACGCGAAAGAAAGATTGCTGGTTGCTGGACACACTTGATCACCTTGTAAGTGCATGTTGTGCCAATTCTTTGCGTATACGAATCCCATGCAACGCAAATGTATCGGCAGCTTTCTGGTTCGAACACGTGCTACCTGAGAATGCCAACCCTCTTCCCCGAAAAGCTCGAGTTGCCAGGGGCTTAGTGTGGCCGTGCAGAGGAGTGAGGCTCATGCAAGTGCAGTCAACAAGACTTGCTGGATGCTGGTAGCGCTGCAACAGCCAAAGTCCTGACAGAAGGCGGCCTTGCGATTGTACATAGAAGTTAGAGAAAGGCAAAAGACAATCGAGCCTTGCGACCAGATGTACAGATCCAAAGAGTTGCAACAAAGTTAGGCAAAAAGACAAAGAAAGGAATGCTAGCAGCTAGGGCAAAAGCTTCAAACGATGCACGTGAGTTTCAGTCGGCATTTTTTGGGAGTTCTTCGGGAGAAGCTGGTTTTTCGGCTCCACGCAGCCTGTAGGTCAAAGCTGAATGCAGTTAAAGGAGAGCGTGCCAAAGGGCAGCAACGAATGGAACTCTAAACCTAGCAGCGCTCATCCCAAAACCTCACACCTCCCTTTCGTACTATGGGTATGCGTGCAAACCGTACTTCTTTGGCAACATCGTTTTCAGCTCAGGATCTAACCCGGCTGGGGAATGCAGCGGGTCCAAAAACGCTGACTGGAAAGTTGCCAAAGGAAGGGGTCCCGCCAAGGCTCAATCTTCAGTATACTAAGCATCTCCTGGGACCCCCCCCTATTTCTCTGCATCAACCCAACAAGCCCTTAACCCCCTAAGCCCTCCTCAACCTTAAGCCCTACACCCCTTAAACCCCTAAGCCTTCCTGCACCCCAAACCTCATCCCGTAGCTCAGGTAAGCTGCAAGAAGGTCGGACGGTGTACGTGCATCCTGGCAGAGAATCACTAAGGTTAGCAACTTAGGGTTGAATCTTCAGAGCTCAGAGTTGAGGGCACTGGGCTTACAGCTTCGAATTGGTGCTGTAGAGCTCACAGCAGCAAACCCACTTGCAGAATCTTGTGACTTGTTGTGCCACAGATCTTACGCGAAATTCCCCCACCCACCATGGGCCTACGGGTTTTGTTTGCGTGGTGCTTCATGGGCACGCTCCTGCGGCTCAATTCCCCTCTAGAAGTTCCAAGTATGGAAGATGCCTTGCAAACAATTCCAAACGGGTGCAGGCGGTTCTTTAAGTTGTCCGTGTAGAATTTGTAAACCCTTAAACCCTAAACCTTAACCCCTTTAACCCCAAACTTGGCTACAGCATTTTTCTTCCACAGAGACCTAAACTAGATGCATCTGCACACTAAGACTTTAATCCTTAAGCCCTGCGCTCTGAAACCTAAAGCCCCAAACCCACATAGCCCTAAAACCCGGGCCCTAGACTCGAAATCCTTTGGTGCGTACACAAACAATGGCAATAGCACCCCTAAACCCTGGACTCTGAACCTTAGACCTTAAACCCTAAACCCACAATCATGAATATGTATGAGAGGCACTGCTGGGGTGGACATGGTCGGACGGGTACCTTAATCTGCTCCTTCCTGACAGTGCCTCGATCCAGACACATGTAGGATGTGGTTTCGGTTCAGGGCTCAAAGTCTGAGAGTTGAGGGGTTCAGGGTTAGTAATCAGGGTTGGAGGGTTTTGTGCTTAGGATGCAAGATTTGTTGTTACGCACCCATACCCATGTGAAGGTTGATGCAGAACATCGTCCCAAAGTTGCCTAATGTCAGGTTTTGGAAGTACTGGAGTCAGACATACGGGTTTCTCAAATCTAGCTTTACAAAATTTGTGCCAGGGACCTTAGAGTTTTGTTTGTAATTCCGATGCTAAGGTGCCCTTCCTCCCCCCATTGCCCTGCCTCAATTCTGGTGGGGTGGTGGGCGTAGGCACTTTAAGGAGACTCTTGGGCTTGGGGTACAGGTATTGGGATGCGGATTCAAGAAAGGCTGTGATGTAGCATCAACCCTAGTTACAAGGATTCAAGGACGTAAGGTTTTTCGCATGGAGTGCTCCAGAGCGCAGACAGCACGGGTCCCAAAGCTTCATAGCACACGTTCGAGTAGTCCTCGCCTGTGGCCGTTGCGCGGAGACTGCTTAACATGTTGTCTCTCTATAGTCCCCCCTTAAGTAGATAGAATATGGGGTACATGGGGATCTTATCATGACCCTAAACCCTAAACCATATTCTATCTAGTTCAGAGGGAATATACTTTCCCAAAAATCTGAGACCCTGTAGTGGAACCCCAAGATCAGCCCCCACAAGCCCAACAATCCGCACAACAATTGTTGTTTCAAACTTATATATTGGTGTTATATAGGGATAATGGAAGAGAGAATGGAAAGTACCATCATGGGTATATAGGGTTTAAGGTTAAATTGATGGGCCGGGGCACTGGGTAGTTCAGTCTTAGATAAGTAAGCCCCAAAGATTCTTTTGCCGCAGCCTAAAAAGCCTTGCACCACGCCGAAGACGCAAGATCTCACGCCCCCAAAACACCTCCGCCAAGTGCCTCTTTGTGGGTTCCCTCAAAGGGGGACTGAGGGGTTATATAGGGTTATGTACGGATATATAGTTTAGAGTTTGGGGCTTAGGGTTTCCCAAAATATTTCTTCAAATCCCAAGCTTGTCAGAAAAAAACAAGGGAACTCAAACCTTAAACTCCCTGAATTCGGAGTCCTATACCCCCCTCTCCTGAGGCATAGGGTTTCACTGTGCTTCCTTGTTGAGGTTTGCTACGGCTTGACAGTGGCGCAAGCCAAGGCCGCTGGGCTCAAATACGCAAAGGTTCCTGATCAGAGTTTAGCGCTCAGGGTGCATGGGTCTAGCGTTCAGAGCTTCTGGGGTTTGGGAGGGTCCTGTGGATGCTGTTGGAGATGTTCAAAAGCTGCATAATTACCAACACCCTCTGTACACTTAATCCGTTCACCATATTAATAAAACCCCCCCTAATAAGAAATAATTAAAACTTCCTCATGAGCATTTTAAAAGGGG